AGTCTAGTATCCTAAACTCGTTGTTAACATTAGTGAATCAAATCCGTCTTCAGTTTTGTATAACTAGAAAAAATACATAATGGGAAACCTAGTCAGTAGCGCAGCCTAACAGTGTGTAAGAGTATTGCGGGCTGAAGGTCAAAGGGGTTTAGAAAATTCGCTTTTTTCCTCCCCCCCCCCCCTTGATACGATGGCGGAAGCGGTCGCAATTGGGTGGAAAGAGCACTGGCTTTTACGTATAAAACAACACTTACATGGCATTGGTAGTCATCGTAACCATTTACAGTGTGAGCCTGCTTTTCGCGGGTTTTGTAGGGGATCGAAGTAAGCCTAGTTATGTCATGGACCGGATGACCCTTTTTACAATACGTCACAGTTCAGATCTGAGAACGTTCAGCTGAAAGTCAGTCGGGGGTCAAAAACTCATAAAAATGTTGCTCAGATACTAGGCTATAGCAGTGCTTATATGTTAAATATTTGATCAATAAAAAAGTATGCATTTCATTTCGGGAGCTGAAAGTGGGGTAATGCCTAAATGTTTACCATACCAACTGTTAAATTACAGGACAGGTACCTAGTTAGATACTCACTCAAACGCTTAGACAACGTCAATTATTAATTTCCAATAATGTATTAGAACTATGTTAAAGCGTTTACTTGTACAAGCAAATGTTTTATCTGAAACTTATTTGAAAGTACCAGCCTAAAGTCTAGCTGCTGAAACCGGATAGCAGCTAAGGGCAGATTTAGAACTAGGTCAAGAATATCTACAGCAGAACTATAGTCAGCAGGGTTCCTTTCAAGTTTGTCGACCTTAATACTACCACAATCTATGTACGGCTTCACAACAACTGAGTCGCGGCTATTAAGTGAATATTTAGAGGGGTAATTTATCTACCAATTATATTATTTATTTGTCTCAATTTAATGACATCATCATTTTTTTGTTTTGACCTCACCATGTGATATCTAGTAACAACAAGTAGCTCAAGCTACAACCAGATTTGCCGGCTACGAGAATCGTCGTTCTTAGATCTTGTTATAGTCTCAGTCTATATGGGCATGCAATTGTATGCTACATGATATTACCTCTCATTAATTAGTAGTATTGATACTATTATTTATTTTTTTTTTCATACTATTGTAGCCATACTAAATGCTGATTTTTTTTTTCTGCGAATTGCAATTTGAGTTAGGTTGCAGCTGTTTTGGGTTGTCAGGCTTAATATATTATCAACAGTATGCTGTTTTACATTCTGCTTTTATACGCCAAGACCTATCTAAACATTTAACTTATACACAC